CTGTCCATCCATCCATCCATCCATCCATCCATCCATCCATCCATCCATCTATCCATCCCTCCCTTTATCTGTCCATCCATCCCTCCATCCATCCGTCCATCCCTCCATCCATCCCTCCATCCATCCGTCCATCCCTCCATCCATCCATCCATCCATTATCGTTACAGCTTATTCTCTAATGGGGTCACGGGGAGATGAATCCCTTATTTCAAAGGGTTGAATATTTGTCTTGATTTTCATTTTGACTCTTTAATTTGACTCATTTTACTTTAAGGTTGCCTTTGAACACACCTAAGCAGATCAGAATCTAATGACCAGCATAGATGCAGGATCGTTAGCCATAGATCTTGGGATGAGTTTTGGGATGAGTTTTGAGAAGCTTGAAGCTTCTCAAAGCTTTCTTTGCAAACATAAAGCAGTCTGTTCTTAAGATGAACAACTGGAAATCCCAGTTTTAAAGTGTGATGATAGCTGTCTCTTTAGATGTGTAACGTAGCTAACATAGCTAACATAGCTAACGTAGCTACCTCATTTGTTCCTCAGTATTTACACCCGTCCATTTCCACTTCTTCACTGGCAGATTTTTTGTGTTTTTTTGTGCCAAGCTTTCCCACATTTACCTGTTTTAATATAGATTTTGCCCTTCTCAGACCTCAGATTCCTGCCTGCCCCTTATCGGATTTGTTTGATTGCCTGTATGATTGATCTTCTGATTGATTATTGATTGACCCTGCCTGTTTTTGGGACCAAGTAAAAGGATTCTCCCTCTAAACTCGCTCGCCTCGTTGTCGTGCATTTGGGTTCTCTGTTACATACAAGAAGTATGGAAGCTCTGAGCGGCCCAATATGTGGAAATAAAAGACGCTAAAGCAGAGGTGGGGACTCGAGTCACATGACTTGGACTCGAGTCAGACTCGAGTCGTTGAAATCACGACTTGAGACTTGACTTGAAAAAACACATTATTTATAAAGTGGCGTCATTAATTAATTTCACTCATTCCGTATCAATATGCACAGACCGTCACTATGTTTTTCCTCTCTCCTTATGTGTGGATGTGTACGTAGCTGCAGCACAACCAATCAAATTAACAGGATTTGGACGTTTAAAAAAACGCGGCGAAATAACCGCTCGAATATGCATCCGCGAGTAATTTCTTTTGGCTACGTAGGTTATGAAATTTCGACTAAAAAACGAACTGCAACTTGTAAAACATGCAAGAAGAGAATATCGGATGGAGATGCCACGACGTCCAACTTTGTCCGGCATTTGAAGCTTCACAAAGATCGGTAGGTGGCGCTTTTCTTTTGCTGTAAGATAGTCGACTTTAGCTAAGGTGGGGACTCGAGTCGTTAAAATCACGACTTGAGACTTGACTCGACTTTACCCGTCTTTACTTGAGACTTGACTCGGACTTGAGGACAGAGACTTGAGACTTACTTGAGACTCGCAACACAGTGACTTGGTCACACCTATACGCTAAGCATTCCGGTGTGGCGCAATCTGTCACGTCTGGGGGAATGTCTGGTGTCTCGTCGTGTCTTGATTACCTATTGTGTACACCTGGGTTTCCCCTCCCTCATGTGTTTAAATAGTCCTCGTTTCCTATGTCCTGTGCCAGTGCGTTTTTGTCCTTGTGAGTTTTTCGTCACCCCCACGTCAGTCCAGGTTTGCTTTTTGCCACAGTCTTTTACTTTGTTCCATAGCCATGTTTTGCCACAGCCTTGTCACAGTTTTGTTAATCTTTATTTTGTTACTTTGCCACAGTCTTGTTTACTTATTGCTTTGATACTTTGCTCACAGTTTTCCACAACCTTGATTTGTACTTTGTCTGGACATTCACTCTTCATGAGTGTTTTTTGTTACAATAAACCTTGTTTTTTCCGTCATCTCCGCGTCTGAGTTCCTCGTTTCCCATGTCCTGTGCCAGTGCGTTTTCGTCCTTGTGAGCTTTTCCATTTGAGTGTGTTTTTGTGCGTTTCACCCTTCGCCACGTCAGGTTTGATTTTTGTCACAGCCATGCCATAGCCTAGTTTACTTTATTGCCATAGCCTTTGTTTTTGCCACAGCCATGTAACTCTTGTTTGTACTTTGCCATAGCAACGTTTTTTGTCATAGCCATGTTTTTCAGTGTGTTTTCGTCACTCTTATCCTTTTGCTTTCGTGTCCTTTGTTCCTCGTCATGTAAGGTTTTGATTTTTGCACCTTTGTCACAGTATTGTTTTTGTCACAGCCTTGCCTTTGCCCTAGTGTTGTTAACTTTATTTAGTATTTTTGCCATAGTCTTGTTTTGATACTTTGCAACAGTTTTATTGATCTTTATTTGATCCTTTGCCAAAGCCTTGTTTACTTTATTTGATACTTTGTGTTCACAGCAATGTTAAATCTTGCTTTGATACTTTGTTTATAATTTTGTCTCCTTGTTTTGAACTTTGTCGGATCATCCAATCCGTTGAGTGCGTTTTCTGTTCAAATAAACCCCTTTGGAACCAACCCTCTCCGCACCTGAGTCCTCCCTAAGATCACAGTCTCTGACACAATCACTAGAAACAAAATCAGAAATGATGGTTCTGCTTTTTCTGTTTTTTTTCGGCTACTAAATTCAAGTCTAAGCTTACAAACAACAACACCCTCATCTAAAGTCGAATATATATACAGGACTGTCTCAGAAAATTATAATATTGTGATAAAGTTGTTTATTTTCTGTAATGCAATTAAAAATCATGAAATGTCATACATTCTGGATTCATTACAAATCAACTGAAATATCGCAAGCCTTTTATTGTTTTAATATCGCTGATCATGGCTTACAGCTTAAGAAACCCAAATATCCTATCTCAAAATATTAGAATATCGTATTTTTGAGTTTTC